TTCGAGTGTATTCAGGATCTCCTAATTCCAAGAGCAAATTTCCACAAATGGAAAACTGGAAGTGTTTTTTGAGACAATGGGGACTCCAGAAATGGACTGAATTTTGTCCTTGCAAAATTAACATGTTGAAGCCCTACCCTCTATGTGATGGTATTGGGAGATGGAAACTTTGGGCAATGAATGATCAAGGTTAGATGAGCTCATGAGGGTAGGACTCCCATAATGGGATTGGTGCCCTTACAGAAGAGGAAAAAAGAGCAGCACCTCTCTCCACCAATGAGGACACAATGAGAAGGTGGCCGTCTGCAAGCTAGGAAAAGAGCCCTCACCAGGACCTGACCATGCTGGCACCATGATCTTAGACTTTACAGCCTCCAGAAAGGTGGGAAAATAAATTTCTGCTGTTGAACTCATCCAGCCCATGGTATTTTGTTATAGCAGTCCAAGCAGGCTATGACAGATAATAGGATGGTTCAAATAAGGGAAAACAGAACAGCCATGGAGAAGCAGAAAAGGAAGCATGTCTCATTTCTTTCAGCTTTAGTTAGAATCCTTCCAGATTGCACCCATGTTTTTGGCAGGAAACTTGGGCTGGCTCACAAGCTAGAGTGGGGATTCAAAGCACCAACAAAGACAATCTTTTTCCCTGGCATTTTGTTAGTGTGCCCACCCCTTTCGCTGTGAGCCACTCTCAGAGCCAGCCCACAGTCCTGCCAGTACTTGGCTGTGCGAGTACAAATGAGTTTGTCCAAGGTGTTCAGGGAAATGCAAAGCCACTGGATAAACAGACCTGGAGAGAGAGAGAAAAGGGACTTGAACATGCAGGGCACAGCTGATGCTGATGAATTGATGCTGACGCCCCTTCCTCAGGTTGACAACCAACGCCTGTGAAACGCAGGGACCACCAGTGGCTCTTGAGCTGGCAGAGGGATCTGGGGAACCCCCGACTGATCCAGAGCTCACAGGAACTGTTCCCAGCACACCACATGCCCTCCTGGCATCTCCTCTACCACCAATAGAAAAGAGCCATGGTCCTCCTGGTCAGGACTTGGGGGCTGCGCAATCTATAGGTTCCTCTAATTGTCTCGGATTTCCAAGCTCCAGGAAAAAAAAATCTCCCACAATTACTGATGTGTGGGACAGCATACTTAATAATAATTTTTAATTGTCATTTTTATTTGTGGTAAAATATATATAGCATAAAGTTTGCCATTTTAGCCACTTTCAAGCATACAATTCAGTGGCATGAAGTACAGTCACAATGTTGTACAACCATCACCACTATTTCCAAAACTTTTTCATCATCCCAAACAAAAACTCTGTGCATTAAGCAATAACTCCCATTCTCCCCTCCCTTCAACCTCTCGTTACCTCTAACCTACCTTCTGTCTTTACGGATTTGTCTATTCTAGACATTTTATATAAGCAGACTCACATAATATTTGTCCTTTTATGTCTGGCTTATTTCACTTAATAATTTCAAGGTTCATCCACATTGTGGCATGTGGCGGAACTTCATTCTTTTTTTCGGCTGAACAATATTCCATTGTGTGTATATACCACATTTTGTTTACCCACTCCGCTGCTGATGGAAATGTGGCTTGTTTCCAGTTTTAGCTATTGTGAATCATGTGCAATGAACATTGGCACGCAAGTATCTGTTTCAGTCCCTACTTTCGATTATTTGGGGTATATATCCAGTTAGGGGAATGCTGGGCTGTATGGTAATTTTTATGTCCTACTTTTTGAGAAACAACCATATTGTTTTGACTTTATATATTTATTTAATACTGAAGTATTGACACCTATTATGTACCAAGAATGAAAGGGTTATAGTTTTCAAGGAGTTTTCCCTCTCTTGGTAGTGAGAGCCATAAAGTAATTCCATGAGTAAATACACAGATTCAAAATGGGTGCACGTTATGGCAGAAAACTATAAGCAGCAAAGACAGGTGACAGCGAGTGGATGGGACTCAAGTTAAAGGCTTGAGAGGGGCATCCCTCCGGGAAGGACACATTAGCTGGGACATGAAGAATGAATAGGTGTCAGCCAGGAGAAGGAGGGGAAAGACCAAGCTAGGGCTGGGAGCAAGTGGTCCAAAGGTGGGTAAAAGGAATGAGAAAAAGGGGAGAGTGGAACAGACGTGACCAGGGCCACCCTGCAAAGACCCATGGGCAACATCAAGGATTAGAGGATGTTTCTAAAGCATAATGGGAGGGAAGAGGTTTTAAGCAGGAGAGTGGAGTGATCAGAGAAGTATTTCTTATTTTTTTGAGATGGAGTCTGGCTCTGTCACCCAGGCTGGAGTGCAGTGGTGCAATCTCGGCTCACTGCAAGCTCTGCCTCCCGGGTCCACGTCATTCTCCTGCCTCAGCCTCCCAAGTGGCTGGGACTACAGGCACCCACCACCACGCCTGGCTAATTTTTTGTATTTTTAGTGGAGTGGCGGTTTCACCATGTTAGCCAGGATGGTCTCGATCTCCTGACCTCGGGATCCACCCGCCTCAGTCTCCCAAAGTGCTGGGATTACAGGTGTGAGCCACCGCACCCGGCCTCAGAGACGTAATTCAAAGGACTTTTAAGTCCTTGCCAGTTTCCTTCTAGGATACTCAGGAGTTTTCAAAATTTTTATTATGGAAATATTCAAACAAAATAGAAGCATCTAATGAACTCAAGGATGGCCAGCTCATGGTCCATTTTCCTTCATCTCCCTCCCTCCGCCACCCCCACGTACTTTCCCTTCCTATACCCCAGGTTATCTTGATGTTTATCCCTGACATCATATATCACATCTTCCCTGAATATTTCCAATACATATGTAAAAGATTCAGATTCTTTTTTAAAACATAACCCTAAAACCATTATCCCACCTAAAAATATAATGATCATTCTCTAATATCGTCAAATGTCCAATGCTCAGGTTTCCCCAACTGACACATAATTTTTCATTACAAATAGTTTGTTGTTTGAACCAGGATGTCAATAAGACACACGCACATTGCAATTGGTTAAAATGCTTCTTAAGTCTGCTTTATGCCACAGGCTGCCCCTTCCCTCATTCATTCAGACGATCCCTGTGAAACTCCATGGACTAGGCTCAGTGCAAGACCCTGGAGACCAGAGGAGAGGGCTCCCCACCCAGAGAGCTGCCACCACCTGTGGAGCTGTCCTCATGGTCACAATCCATGGAGGCTTGCTGAAGACAAAGTAGATGGCAGAGTAGGGTGGGGGTGCAATATGGTAAAAGCACAAACTGGGGATCATGAGAGTCTGGACCAGGATCCTCCGGTATTTCTGAGAGGGGATTTATCTATTTATCTGTTGCATCTCAGCTAACTGCTCTCTCTGAAAGCCACAGTCAACCCATCCAAGAGGGAGGAGATCGTGCCTGGCTGAAATCATAGTGGGCCCAGTCTTCCTGGAAAAACCTGATGGTGGACACCCTCACGACAAGACGGCACTCACAGATTTCTTTGTTTTTGATTCCTACCTACCAATAGACAATGTTCACACCAAACTGAAATCATCACCATGTTGGACTCACTGCCAACTGACCTGGCTTCTTGTCTGATCATTCTGTCTTCATGTTCTAGTTGTAATTTCTCCTCTTTGGGGACATCAGGACTGGGTGTTTGGATATGAGGAATTATTTTGAGACCCAGTGGTGTTCAGGGAGGAAAAGGAGGGCCCCATGAAGGACTCTCTGCTGGAAGGCTTGGGCAGCATGAGGGGCTGCAGCAAACACGTCCACCTGAGCTATTCTGTTCGCCTTCCTTGGTAAGCTGGAACATGCAAGATAATTGTCTTCCCTCAAGACAATAAGATGCCATTTTATAACCATTTACAAAAAAAAAAAAAATGGAGAAATCTAAGAATTCCAAGTATGGGAGAGGACATGGATCCACAGGATCCGATTACATGCTGTTGGTGGGAATGTGAATTGATGCACTAACTTTGGAGAATAGATTAACACTACTCTTTAAAGTTAAGCATTCATTCATCCTGTAACTAGCAATTCCATTCCTAGTTGAATACCTAAGTGAAGATTTTACCCATGTTCAACACCCAGACGTGGACAACAGTATTCACAGCAGCACTTTTTACATTAGCAAAATCCCGGAAACAACATGAGAAAGTGGCTGAATAAATGCTGTGGTATATTCACACAAAGGAGTATTATACAGTGGTCAAAAATGAACAATCTTCCATTGCTATGTCATTCCCCAAATGGCAAAACTATAGAGATGGAGAACAGATTAGTGGTTGCCAAAGGACAGGGGTGGAATGGAGGCCAAATGAACTATAAAGGGGTAGCACCTGGAAGTTTCTTTCTGATGACGGAACAGTTCTCTATCTTGATTGTGGTGGTGGTTACATGAATCTACATATAGCATCGAACTGAATAAAACTACACACACACACACACACACACACACACACAACTGAGTGCATGTAAAAACCAGTGAAATCTGAATAGGGTCTACGTCCTATTTAACAGTGCTGTACTAATATTGATTTCCGATTTTACATTGCATTACTGCTATATAAGATGTCACCATGACTAAAGGGTTCTCAAGACCCTATGCACTATTTTTGTAACTTTCTGTGAACATTATTATTTTGAAATAAAAAGGTTTTTATTTTAAAATCTAATGAATACAGGAACACACAATATGAATCAATCTTAGCAATAATATTTAAATAAAGAAAGAAAATCACAAAGGATTATGATACTGTTTTCATAAAATTAAGACAAAGGAAAATAACCAATTGATGCATATGTAACAAAACTATATAGAGAAGAAAAGCAAATTAGAAACAAAAACAGGATAGGATATGATGGTTAAAGGGGAAGTCAGGGATGGGTTTTGAGGTATGCCATTTTACCCACACCTGTGCCTCTACATAGACTAAGAGAGCCCACAGGGTTATAGTTTTCATTCCTTGGCATGCAAAGCGAGCATGAGTTCATGAAGGGCAGGTGCCCGGCGCCTCTCACCTTCACTCCTGTGGCCATGTCCGCCATGGAGAGAACTTCTCCTAGGACGAGGCTTCGGCTGACAAAATTCTTTGTTTTTCTCTGCCTGAAAACGTGACAGACTCAGTATCAAGGTTTCCTTATGATTTTCTGACTTGTTAAATTCACAGTTTTTATACCAAATGCATGTTACTTTTATAATAAAAAAGAAACACAATAAAAGCAATTTTTAAATTAAGAAACAATTCCATCATTCTACTAAACATTTTCATCTTTTTTTTTTTTAATGTGGCTTTCCGGTCTCTTAGTGTTAAAGACTCTTCTTATACAATAGTCAACTGCATCCAAATGGAGGCCAGCCTGCGACCCTGCAACCGACTTGCCTCGTGCCTTGCTTTGCCTTCTCCAGGTTTGTCCCTCCCAGCTCCTGGTGTTCCCCTTACAGGCCGGCACCCCCACGGTTCTGCCCAGCTCCTCCAATGTGTGCCACAGCCTGCAGTCTCCCTGCATTGATGCCCCAACCAACAGAGAATGTCTGGGTGGAGCTCTGTTGACAATCTTTTGTTGTTTTGTTTGTTTTGTAGAGACAGGGTCTCGCTATGTTGCCCAGGCTGTACATGAACTTCTGTGCTCAAACGATCATCGTGACTCAGCCCTCCAAGAAACTGGGACTACAGGCATGTGCCACGGCACCCAGCTTCAGTGACAATCTTGATGTGAGAGTGGAGGATTGGGAAGTGTGGGAGCATTCTGGACACAGGAAAAGCAGTATGTCTACTTTGTAACTATAGACCATCTCAGGGCTTTGATGATTTAAAAATCATGGGGTCCCAATCCCCTCTCCTCACTCACTGTACACAACAGCAACAAATCCCAAGGCTATACGAACACACTCTTCTCCACCAGTGATAAATGAGGCATGTCAGAAACACTGTACAGGTTTCATTTTAAAAATTCAGAGGCAGCCAGCATTTCCTTAGAAGGTGGTGGGCCCTTGAGTGGACAAAGTGCAGTTGTCCGTTGTTGAAATCAGTGCTAGTTGTCCTTGCTTGCCAGTCTCTTCTGAGATCCAACCAAAAAAAGGTGCTTGTTACCCATGTGTGTATGTGTATGTACGTGTGTGTGTGTCTGTGTGCACATGTGTCCATGTATGCATGTATCTATATGTGTGTGTGCATCTGTATGCACATGTGTGTGTGTGCGAGTATGTGTGTGTATACACTGCTCTACCAGCAGCAGGATGATAACTAACCTTCCTTGAATGACTCTCGGTTTCCACATTGGCTAAAGCTCTCACCCCAAACACACTCTAGACTTTTCCCTCTCATAGGTTTTTGCAATGTTTCTCTCAAGCATTATTTGATTCAACAGCAGGCTGTGTATGTGTGTATGCGAGTGTGAGTGTGTGTGTATACACTGCTCTACCAGTAGTAGGATGATAACTAACTTTCGTTGAATGACTCTCAGTTTCCACATTGGCTAAAGCTCTCACCCCAAACACACTCTAGATTTTCCCCTCGCATAGATTTTTACGTTTCTCTCAATCATTATTAATTTGCTCCAACAGCAGGCTGTCAAGATTTATTACTCTTATCATGGCTCCAACCCAATGCATCTTGTATTGATTATTTCCTAAAATATCTCCAGGCTTGAGTATATAAACCACTGCGTGACTCCAGCTTCAGTTCACACTGCTGAAGTTATTACCAACAAATAATAAAAGACAACTAAAGCAGACATTTGCAGACTTTTTTAGAGGGCCCAAGTGTCCTTTGTTGCAAAGATCCTCACAACATTCCTATACAGGAGGCTAAAAGGACAGGAAAGACTGACCCCATGTAACAGATAGGAAATCCCAGGCTCAGGGAGGTCAAATGACTTGTCCCACGAGAGTCACCTGGTAAGCGGAGAGCAGTATCCTGTATCAGAATCCGAAGCTTCAGGTTTCTCATCTGGATGTCTTGCCACCGGCCCTCCCTGCTCCTCATTATTAAGCCAGAGGAAGTCTTGGGACTCTGAGTGACCCAGCCTTCCTCATCGGTCCACCCCTATTTTTCACCACCAGCCTTGTTCCCAGAAAGCACCTGACATCAACCTGTCTTGGGCCCCCAGTTCATCTTCCTGAGAGTCACCCTCTCTGGAATCATCACAACAAACCCTTCCTCGTCACCAGCTCTGTTTTAGCCAAACTGAAATCATCAGGAGTAAGCACAGCCCCCTGAATTTCCAACTATTCATAGCTTTCTTCATATTTCATTCTCTTCACGTACACTGTCAATGCAGGAGTATGACTTTGCCCTTAATAGTGTCCAACTGCAGTCACTTTTACTCACCACTTTGAAATAAATTGCAAGGACATTCACTGAAGAACCAACTCGAAATTTAGCCATCCTAGAGCATTATAAATTGTCTTGACAATTACTTCCCTTCTCTTGTCTCTGCAGGAGATAGTGATCTTTGCTATTAGATCTGATGGGAAATGACAATAGGAGTTTGCCATTAATTCTCTGACGTTGATTTAAGCATATATTTGTACTCATCCATCTCCAGATGCCAAACCAAAGTTCCAGAACTGAGAACAGGCTTAATAAGAATGACTGCCTTACTGGTATACATTTTAACATCTTCTTCACACATAAATTCCCTATTTTCTTCAACTCTTATTTTATTCCTGATTAATTGTTCTTAATTAAAGAATGTCTAATATTGACAAGTTTCACCTCTCATTGAAATGGCAGCACTAACTGAATGGTCTGTGATGATAATGATCAATCAATAGTTATACTAACTGAATGGTCTATGATGATAATGATCAATCAATAGTTATACTAACTGAATGGTCTATGATGATAATGATCAATCAACAATTATGTGCTTTTCTACATTCATCTTTGCAGCAATTCTACTGTATCAATAGCTGCCTTCATTTATACTTCATATATTCAAACCAAATGCAATCTCCATAGTAGCATGTAAGTTTTTAGTGATTTTAAATAATAATTCCATAAATGTATGAATACTATACCAAGCTTATAGTTTATCCTAAATTACAGCCCATGCTATTCACATGCATACTTAATAAATTCAGCCTCAGAGGAAGATAGCTTTTCTTAAAACGCTTCCCTTTCTTTGTAGAGCACTTGAGGTAACAGATCATTGTGATGTAATAATCTGCTATAAACTCTGAAAAAATGTATGTTTTTATATTTTTACATCTGAGCTGTCTTTCCTCTGATGTTAGCCCACACGGCCTCCTTTGCCAGCTCTAAGCACCACTCTCACCTCCTGGGCTAACCAGCCCTGGCCTTCCCTCCAAAAGGCCCCATGTCTGGCCACTTCTTTTTTTTTATTTTTTTATTTTTATTTTTGTATTTATTTTTTTTTGAGATGGAGTCTCATTCTGTCACCCAGGATGGAGTGCAGTGGCGCGATCTTGGCTCACTGCAACCTCAGCCTCCCAGGGTCAAGCGATTCTCCAACCTCAGCTTCTCAAGTAGCTGGGATTACAGGCACAAGCCACTACGCCTGGCTAATTTGTTTGTATTTTTAGTAGAGATGGTGTTTCACCATGCTGGCCAGTCTGGTGTCGAATTCCTGACCTCATGATCTGCCCGCCTCCACCTCCCAAAGTGCTGGGATTACAGGCGTGAACCACTGCACCTAGCCAAGTCTGGCCACTTTTTACATCTCTTCAACACACTCTTGTGCCCTGGACTATAGTAACAGCCTCTTGACTGGCCTCCTGTGTCCACCCTGCCCCAAACATCAGCCACTATGAGCTTTTTATTATCAGTTATTATTAAGGTAAAATTTACAGCCAGTGAAATGCACAGAGCTTAAGCACATGAGTTAAGTTCAATTATTTACCTGTGTAACCATCACATCAATCAAGAGCACAGGGCATTCCCTTCCCCCAGCAGGCATCCCCATGCCCCTCTGCAGTTAGTACCCACCTTCACAGGCAACCACTGTTCTCTTTTCTTTCTTTGTTTCTTAGAGATGGAGTCTTACTTCATAGCTCAGGCTGGAATGCAGTGGTGTGATCGTAGCTCACTGTAGCCTCAAACTCCTGGGCTCAAGGGATCCTCCTGCCTCAGTCTCTTGAGTAGCTGAGATGACAGGTCTGCCATTACAGACAGCTAATTTTTTTTTTTCTGGAGACAAAGGTCTCACTGTGTTGCCCAGGATGGTCTTAAACTCCTAGTATCAAGCAATCCTCCTGCCTCAGCCTCTCAAAGTGCTGGGATTACAGGCATGAGCCACTATCGCCCCCAGCCTCACACTTCTTTTTGTATTACCACCCACTAGTTTGGCTTGTTCTTGAAGTTACACAAGCAGGAAACAGTATATGCTCTTCAGGGTCTGCCTTCTTCCATGCAAAAGAGGTACCTGTGTTAAACTAAGGATATCCATAGTTCATTATCTGAATGGTTTCCATCTATGAATAGTTCATAATTTGTCTAAACGAAACTCTTTAGTGAACATTTGGGTGGCTTCCAGTTTCAGGCTCTTATGAACAAAGTTGACATAAACATTTGTGTACAAATCTTTCGGGACATGTGTCTGTTTCTCTTTTGTAAATCCTTATGAATGCAGCTGCGGGGTTAAAGTGTAGGTTTAGTTTTATAAGGAACAGCCAAACAGGTTTTGAAAATGGTTGTACCATTTTACGCTCCTCCCAACAATGAATGAGAGTTCCAGTTTCTCCATATTCCTACCAGCATTGTCAGTCTTGTTCAAATTTAGCTATTCTGGAGGGAGTATAATGTTATCTCACTATAGCTTCAAGATGTATTTCTCAGATGACTAGAGATACGAGCGTATTTTCATATGCTTAACAGCCATTTGTAAGTGTTCATGTCTTTTGCCACATTTTAAAAATTGGACTGTTTGTCTGTTTATCACCAAGTTCTAGGGATTTTTATATAGTACGGGCACAAATCCTTTATATCTGGACACAAGTTTTTGTCAGATAAATGCATTACAGGTTTTTTCCTACTTTGTACGTTGCCTTTTTATTCTCTTAATGGTGTCTTTTGATGAACAGCAGTTTTTAATTTTAATGTAGACAGTTCATTAACATACTTTCTTTTACATATTCAAGTG